AAACAAAGAAGGTCTCAAAAATAGACAAAACTTGACATGTTGATTTTGAGTGCTAAACTCGCTACCGCGATTTCTCCACTATTCTGTTTACATAATACTCTGATGTTTTTGCTCTTGTATACACCCAATATGACCTTTGAAATCACCTATCAAGCATCGAAATCCCGGATCCATCTCCGGACAGTATGGTCCCTCCTGTCAAAGAACTTCTCTCAAGTATTGAGCAGAGTAAAGTCACAAAACATTACCCAATTTCAAATTTTTCATAAGATAAACAACAAGACTATACGAGATAACGACTTCATTGATTTGAATGTTGAGAGACCTTATGTACATTCAACGAAAAAGTTACTTTTAAGAATTTTCAAAAATTTTGCTCCTATTATCATTTTTTTCACTAGGAAAAGCTTATCCGATAAAGCTGAAAATTTTTATGGGACACTTTTCTCAAAACTTTCTACCATCCATTAGAAAATATCAGCAAATTCTGAGATGTCATTGTATCATGACCGTCTAAACCTGTCACAAACCTACTATTAGTCTCTGGAAAAGAATACTATAAGGCGAGGAAAAAGAATACCACTGCCTTTCGGCTACCTTTTAGTATAGGGTGATGTCCTAGGACATTTTGATTAGCCCGATATTTTGCCTACAACTATTGCCAGCTGCAGGTCTGAGCATAAGGCTGGCTTGACGTAGGGTTCTCCTAGCTCAATTACTTGAGCTTCCCATGCACACTGACTAATTACATGCCTACTACAGGAACTAAAGTGGCGGAAAAAAGTTTAAGGCACTTTTCAATAGGCTTGCTTTATTTTCATGAAATGTTAAACCAATACAAAATCTTTCAAAAAAAGTGAAAGGAAATGTCCACCTTTGGCATCCAAGCATCTTAGGATTCGTTCGGGCATTGATTCGACCCATTTTATGCATAGGCTCCTATCAATGTTGTTCCATTCTTCTTGAAGACGGTCGATGAGAGCCGTTTTGGAATAAATTGGCTTTGAAGCCAGTTTTTTATCGATAATCGACCATAACATCTCTATTGGATTAAGATCCGGGCTTTTTGGAGTCCAATCAAGTGCATGAAATTTTAATTTCGCAATTTTGTCTTTCACTATATTCGATGTATGCCACGGAGCTAGGTCTTGTTGAAAGATCATCTTGATATTTTTCGGAATTTTAGCCATAGATTGTTTCACCTGGTTTTGTAACACATCACAATATAATTGGCCATTCATATTTTGAGTATAAATTTTCGCACTTGTTGTTCCAAAGCCTGATATACCACCCCAAATTCCCACTTTTCCCCCATCACCTATGTTCATTTGTTATAAACATTCAGGAAGCAGATTTTCTTTTTCTAATCGCCAAATTTTGCATTGATTTTTTCGTTTCAATACATAAAAGGTCGATTCATCCGAGAGAATCACGTTCTTCCAATCATCGTGGGCCCAGTGCATATATTGGATACAGTAGGCGACTCGTTGTAGTCGGTATTTGACACCTAACCATTGTTTTTTTCACTTTGACCACATATTCAAAGCCTAAATCTTTTTAATAAGTACGTATTGTTCGTGTCGTAACCGGTTTTGGGAGGCTAGCGTTCAAATCAGAAGCAATTTTAGTCGCACTAAGGCGGGTATCACCTTTCACCAATCGTTTCAAGTGTCGAAGATTACGAGCAATCACTTTCTTTGGACGTCCTGACCGTTTCAAATCATCCTACCGACTGAACATTTTATATTTTTTAATGGCATTTTGTACACAGCACCGGGAAACGTGGAGGTCCTTTGATATATCGACCAGGTTGAAACCAGCACTGTGTAACGCCACTATCTGGGCTCTCTTAAATGACGAAATTGTTTTTTTCCCCATAAAAGATTCAAGGATAATAAGACAAATGAAATTTATCTAAAATAGCAGACAAAAGGCATTATTCTTTATGTTTCTTTCTTGATTAAAATGAAAATATTGAAAAGTGCCTTAAACTTTTTTTCCGCCACTTTAAGGTGATTATAAGATATATACAGTGTGTCCCGAAAGTCATTTCCTAAAAGTTTTTGACAATATTTCCATTATTTTGCTTTACTATATAGACGATTTTTTTTTCGAATGACATGGATTTACATCAAGTTTGAATTTTGTTTATGCAGTTTTTATCAATATCGCTCGAGTGTACTGCCATCCAATTAAATACAAAAACTTAATTTTTTCTTTTCTATGAAAAATACATTAGGCAAAGTTTTTTTTCAGTTCATCGAATTTTTAATACGTTCAGACCTTTACGGGCTTCACAGTCACATGATCTACGATATTTCGATTTGTTCATGAAAATACATCAGAAAAAATATTTATAAACAAGAATTGAAGCTCCCAACGAATTAAAAGTTCGAAAAGTTCAAGAGAGTCGATTAATGGGAAAAAACTTTGTGTGATGTATTTTTCATGGAAAAGAAAAAATTAAGTTTTTGTATTTCATTGGAAGGCAGTACGCTCGAGCAATATTGATAAAAACTGTATAAATAAAGTTAAACTTCATGTAAATCCATGTCGTTCGAAAAAAAATTGTCTATATAGTAAAGCAAATTAATGGAAATATTGTCAAAAACTTTTAGGAAGTGACTTTCGGGACACACTGTATGGGTATATTGTTCATCATAGGAAGTGATTAAACGAAGGTTAAATAATAGATTCAATAGTTGGTTGC